ACAATTTTACCAATTTTACAAACTTTAAGCCAATTGCAAATTTGCTGTAACCAACCCCTACTGCAAATTTTGCTTGTAGGGATACATACGATGTACTGTATAAGGCCATGATGGCTGCAGCTCTCTGAAACAGGGGAGGCTCAGTGATGTTAATTAAATTCAAACATCACATATTGCATTAACAAATGTTAAAACACATAATTACAACGGTTGAAAATAGCTTTTGGGAAGCGCTCTGAAATAATAAACTCCAGAAACCACAGCAAGAGTTCAGCACAAGATGACTGTTCTGAATGAACGATTCCTTTGCCCCCTCGACTGGCCACTGTCAGTCAAAAATCATTAAGTATGTTAGCCAATCAGCATCGAGCAGCTAGCTTCAGGACCTGCTCTATAGACACTCTAAATTGCGGATTATACTTCTGCAGCTGCACACAACAAATGTCGCTTGCGTCTGGTCGCAAACCAGTTTTGCTGGTATGCTTCTACAACGTCGGTCTGGAATCTCTAGGGATGCATAGCATGCCAAAGCACTAGGGGGACCCTATTTGAGAACTCGCAAGAAGTTCTCAAATAGAACATACTCATGAATAAAATTTATGAAGTTTGACCATGCATATTTTACCAATCATTTTATGAAATTTAGCCCAAAATTTAGCCTTGGGAGTTTTAGACTCTCTAGTTTTCAATGAGATATCACCACTGATATAAGGGCACATATTATGGTATACACTACTAATATATATATACACTATATTGCCAAAAGTATTTGCTCACCTGCCTTGACTCACATATGAGCTTAAGTGACATCCCGTTCCTAATCCATAGGGTTCAATATGACGTCGGTCCACCCTTTGCAGCTAGAACAGCTTCAACTCTTCTGGGAAGGCTGTCCACAAGGTTTAGGAGTGTGTTTATGGGAATTTTTGACCATTCTTCCAGAAGCGCATTTGTGAGGTCGCACACTGATGTTGGACGAGAAGGCCTGGCTCTCAGTCTCCGCTCTAATTCATCCCAAAGGTGTTCTATCGGGTTGAGGTCAGGACTCTGTGCAGGCCAGTCAAGTTCATCCACACCAGACTCTGTCATCCATGTCTTTATGGACCTTGCTTTGTGCACTGGTGCACAGTCATGTTGGAAGAGGAAGGGGCCAGCTCCAAACTGTTCCCACAAAGTTGGGAGCATGGAATTGTCCAAAATGTCTTGGTATGCTGAAGCATTCAGAGTTCCTTTCCTTGGAACTAAGGGGCCAAGCCCAGCTCCTGAAAAACAACCCCACACCATAATCCCCCCTTCACCAAACTTTACACTTGGCACAATGCAGTCAGACAAGTACCGTTCTCCTGGCAACCGCCAAACCCAGACCCGTCCATCAGATTGCCAGATGGAGAAGCGCGATTCGTCACTCCAGAGAACGCGTCTCCACTGCTCTAGAGTCCAGTGGCGGCGTGCTTTACACCACCGCATCCGACGCTTTGCATTGCACTTGGTGATGTATGGCTTGGATGCAGCTGCTCGACCATGGAAACCCATTCCATGAAGCTCTCTGCGCACTGTTCTTGAGCTAATCTGAAGGCCACATGAAGTTTGGAGGTCTGTAGTGATTGACTCTGCAGAAAGTTGGCGACCTCTTCGCACTATGCGCTTCAGCATCCGCTGACCCCGCTCCGTCAGTTTACGTGGCCTACCACTTCGTGGCTGAGTTGCTGTCGTTCCCAAACACTTCCATTTTCTTATAATACAGCTGACAGTTGACTGTGGAATATTTAGGAGCGAGGAAATTTCACGACTGGATTTGTTGCACAGGTGGCATCCTATCACAGTTCCACGCTGGAATTCACTGAGCTCCTGAGAGCGACCCATTCTTTCACAAATGTTTGTAAAAACAGTCTGCATGCCTAGGTGCTTGAATTTATACACCTGTGGCCATGGAAGTGATTGGAACATCTGATTCCAATAATTTGGATGGGTGAGCAAATACTTTTGGCAATATAGTGTATTATGGGTGTATGCAAATGTAATGATGTAAAAAATAAAAAAAATTAAATTTGTATTCTACTTTTAAAAAAAGTTTCCTTGTGTTAAATTTCAAGCAACAAAATTCAGCTGGTCCACCAAACCCACAACCCTAACTGGAATGTGAACAGGACACAAGAGTTAAATAAATGAAGAAACACATTAGAATTCGACACCTTTAAAAATGAAGCTGACATGGCGTTGTATTTTTAACAATTTTTTAAGAAAACTAAATGAGACAATGAGCAGGCAGATAACACATGAACTTTTATTTTATCTGAGAAGGGACAAAAGTTGAACTTGCTGGCAAATCAGTTAACAGCCTTAAGCCTGTATCAATGCTCCATTGTGGATCCTATTCTCAACAAATTCCCCTACGCGACACGAATGGGTTGGCTCTGTCTCTGAATAAGTAATGTGATCTAAAGCTGAGCTTTACAGCAGCCTGAACTACGCTTCAACAAAAACATTTGCTTTAATAAGTAAGTTTTGGCTTCCTTGGGTTCTGAAACCAGCTTTAATTTGAAACTACTTAAGCTGGATATGGTATGATAAGTTTTCCTCCAGTAGTTTTAAGTCTTACCTGCTCCCCAAAATTATTCACACTGCACTTTGCAGCCAGTTCTGGCTAATTTTTATCCTCTCTCTCTTTATACATCTTTCCTCTTGACTGTCCCTGTCGTTGCTACCTGTGGTGTGCCTCAGAACCAAAAAAGACAGGGCAAGGGGGTGTGTCTGCTTTTTCCTATTATGCTCCTACTCAGGCGGTAGGAGGATCTAACAAGGCAGATACTGTTGAATTTGGAACCTCCCAATGGCCAGTCTGCTCTCAAGTAACTGACTAAAGAACCATAGGATAGCAGTGCTTTTGTTTTGTTTTTTTTAAAAATAGAAATATGTTAGAGTATTAGATACTCAAAGAAGTAATACTTTTTTATCATTAGACTAATGCATTACTGTCCAACACCATGAAAGGTCAAGGTTCAAAACCATACTATCAAGTATATAGAGATTAGGGAAATGCATGAGTGTTTACAGAAACATATTTTAACAACATATTTATTTTATTTTAAGAACATATTTATACAGAAAATTTATCTCACTGTGCCTGATAGGCAAGTGATAGTTGGACAGAGAAAAAGAGAAAAATAAGGTGTCCTAAAATGGCCCTTGAGGTGCGCCTCAGCTGATAAATTCACTGCAAAAATTGGAATCTAAATTAGTAATTGTTTCTTAAAATACAATTTTTTCTTGAAGGAGGTAAGTGAGACTTAGCCAATGGAACAAGACAATTTAAATTTCAAATAAGAAACATTTGCCATCTCTTATTCCAAGTGCATGTTATCTACTTTTCTTTTTTAAGGGTAAAAATACTCATTCCATTGGCAGATCATCTTATATACCTGCTCGCATGAAGGGTAAATACACTTAATTTAAGACATTTTTACCTATTTATAGATCGTTGTTGCAGTTTGAGCTTAAATTTAAATTCATTAAGATCGCTGGGAGCTTGATCCATTTTGGGAAAAAACAAATGGAGCTTGTTTCAAAGAGGCCAACATCAACTAGAATGAAAGCTTTACTGAGATCAGCAAATCAGCTGTTTGATGACAGCTATGATCGAGGCAGAACAGATATGATTAAGCATATTAGGATTAAAGTTTAAAGGTCAATCAGAAATCCAACTTGTTTGAAGGTTGAGTTCTGATATGATCTTAAGATTCTTTATTTTTTGTTTAAACCCTTCCTATATACAGAAGGTTAGCTAGCCCTTTTATTCCAGCATATTGTCAGGCTGCTCCATGGGGGTCCCAAATACACGATTATTAGGAAGACTTGAGCCTTTTAATTCTTAAACAACATACCTATCTTCAGAGCATTTGCTGATTGTGTCTGATAGTACATTCAGTGTCAGTACACAGGCAGTAAAAAACACTTTGTGCATAGCACAGGAATTGATGAAACAGCAGTATTTGACAGGAAGGAGACCAAGGCATCTTTCTTGCATGATCCAATTTTATATATTCCCTTCCTGGCATGGTCGACTAAAAATCAATAAAAGTGATTATCTTTATTCCATCATGAATCATTCCTGATCCTGATGGGAACAGATCCCTTGTATGATATCACTGTCTTAGGGGACAACAGTCTCTAAATGTTGAACTATGTAAATGTTGCAAGTCATTTGCTCTGGGCTTTAAAGATTTAAAACCGACTTGAGAAGATTTTGGGAAACAGGTACCTCCTTATCACAAAATAATCTTCTGTACTGGTGTTCCTCCTGGTTACAGAACACAGAAATCAGACTTCGACCATATGACTGTTTAACCTGAATTTGCCATTTTTAAATGTTCACTTTTTGTTTGGTTTGTTTTTTTGTTTAAGGAAAACAGTTTTCCTCAAAGGATTCTAGTCATCACCAATATCAGCACATAAAGAGTCAAACATGTATTCTATTGTAAACAATGTGGAACAAAGCTTATTTAAAGGTACTTTTTTAACCTAAAAATCCACAGTATGTGCAAAGTCTAAGCTTAGATTTGTATGTTGTGGACAATTTACTTCTTATTCTGGATTTAAAACAGTTTGAATAAAAGTGTAGGTTCCAGTGCAGCTTACCAATCATCATATACTTAGTTGCAGTGTGCTGCTAAAGCATGGTAACACTTTTTAAAGAATGATCATATTATTATTGTTATTTTTATCATTATTTGAATATAAATGCTCTTTTTACCTTTTTTTTTTTTACTGACAACTGCAAACCACTGGAGGGTGCTGTTGAGCTATGTGTCTTCCTGAATCTCAGCTACCAGTGTCTCTGTTGTTTAAATGATCTATCCTTAAGATGCTGATGCCAGTCTCTGTGGTATTCAGTAATAAGTCTTTTAATCAGCACCTTTGTACTTTTTTGAGAAGCCTTACCTAAATATGTATTTGATCCTTATGTATTATTTATTTCTCTTTCATTATTTGTCTTATTCCAGCTGGATCATTACCCTCCAGTCAGCTACAAACTTCCAGAGGCCTCAGACATACAGTTTGACCTGGTAAAGACGCTGTTCCTAGGCAAGGTCTATGGTGAGTCATTTTTCCTTGATGTCATATACTTAAAGGTGAAACTGAGTAAACACAATAATGATTAAAAAGTTTTTTTATTTCAGTAATTTAACTCAAATACATGTTCCCAGTTTCAATGGATTCATTTCTCACAAAATGATGTGCTTCAAATGTTTATTTCTGTTGGTTTGAACGATTATGGTTTGCAGATGAGTAATAAAATTCAGTTTATGAGAAATGATGCTCATGTAAGAAGTAAATTAGAAGAAGCATAAGATAAATAAAAATGTGTAATGAGAATCTTTTTGTTCTGGATTGTCATGACATTATAAGGCAGTTAAGCTGTGTGACTAAATAGTCAAAGGACATTAATCATCGAATATTTCAATAATGGATATAAAAATGCTGGATTAATAAATGAAAAAAAATCTTGTTGCAAACACAGAGCCTTTTGCCTACTAATTATCTCTGACGTTGTTTTTCTAACTGTTCAACTACATTGCAAACTCACAAATGCTCTCTCCATCATCTGTCTTTCCACCAGTATGCCTCCTTGTCGCCATAATCCATAACAACTGAAGACATTGTTACATGCAGGTTTAAAATTGACTTTCATATGTGCTAAATATTGATGCAAAAATCGATTTAAGATTCGTTAACTGCATTATAAAGAGTGGGTTGTAAAGATTTTCATTTGCACATCATCCTCCCAGTATTATGGTCATCAACTTATCTTTACATATTTTCAAAGGGCTAGAAAGTTTGTTCTGCTCATTTTAGACACAATCTGATTTGCACCTTTGCCCATGCCATCGACTTTTGAAGGCAAGGGATGTGGAATTTTGTCACTTTGCAAACAGTAAACTCCTTTGCCAACTGCTTTTTGTAGTCTAACCTTGTGTTTATATTACCAACCATATTTTTACTAAAAATACATTTTTATTATTCATCTTTATTTTTTTCTCTGAACATTTTAATTAAAGATATTCATTAGATTTAAGCCATTTCTACCAAAACAATTTAAATTTGATGTACAATCACTTAAATCAATGTAATATTTTCACATTTTGAAAGGAAACAGAAAACATTTTGAAAGGAATTTGTATTTCAGAAGGAAATACTTTCCCCCTTACATCACTAACATGAAGTTGTTGTTTTTTTCAGGAATCTGTCCTTGTTTGAGGCTTTAGTAGGTTTTCAGCCAAAGTGAATATAACTTTTATTTATAATTAATCACATGTTGCTGTTCTTTGGTTTAGGGTTAATCGACTTAAAGAAACACAACAGTAATCTATTATAATCTTATCTACAGTGGGCATGTTTTATTCCAGCTGTCCAGAAAGCTAGAGGAATATTATTACTCATCAGAATATTCACTTGCTTAATTAATGATCTATCATCATCATTTATTATCAAAGCCCTACAGTATATTATCTTCTAATCACTTGAATCTATCGGGTTTATGATGAACCACATAGTTATTTATATTCTTTCAAAATAAAGCACTATGAGGAAGGCTTATATGATGATTTTGAAACTTGAGAAGCCAATCAGGCTCTTTTTGTTGAGGAGCTCTTTAAATTATAAGGTTTGTTAAATTCTGTTAATATAGAAAATGCGTTTGTTGCTCTTCCTTTCTCCATCTCAGTGTTGCTCTTTCTTCATTACTTATTTTATCCCCACAACGGCAAAAAAGTTAGGTTGGAGCAGTGGTGGATTTTACTCATCCGACAGACTTATAGACTGCTAAATGAACCGCTGATGTATTGTGTATATTTTCAAAATGGCCTCAGCATGTTCATTCACAGCAAACCCAAGATCTCATCATCACCCATCAATGCAACAGCTGTGTTATGAGGAAAAGCAAGTTAGAAGTCACCCTTAATGCAATGTCAATGCAGTGTACAGACCTTTTTCTGATTTGTAAGGTATGAGCATAAAAATATAGACAGCATACAGAAAAGTAAACCCTAATTTAGATTGAAAAATAAAGATAAAATGAAGCATAGGAAGGGAGAAAGAGGTTAGAAGCAAGGACAAAAGCTTGTATTTCTATGTCTCATCGGATCTGTTCCATTTCTGTGTCGGAACCACAAAGACAAGAGAGACGTACAGTTCAGCTATCAGGTTCCCTGTTTGAGAGAGAATGAGACTCCGTGCTTGGTACGCTGCACACACACACACACACACACACTTTGATCACTGCGAGATTTCCTACGTCTCCTTGCAGTCTGGTTGAAGGATGGGATAAGCTGGGTTCAAAAAAACAAATGAACATCTCATATGAGATAACTAGTTAGAAGTGTGCACAAATATAAAGCTTTATACATCAGTAATGCACAATCAGTCTTTTTCAGTTAAGTAACTGTTCTGTTAGGGTTAATCTACTGTTATGAGAGCTTTAAATATAATACTGTTATCCAACTTTTAAGTAGCATTTGACCTATTCTGTACTTTTTCTGACAAGTGCAAACTTTCAGAATAAAGTTTACTGGGCGAAAAAAAAAACACGAATGATTAAAAACAAAGAATTTAATACAATAAAACTACATCAACAGAAGAAAATGCTGCAATAATATAAGATAGACAATAACAAAAAAAACAACAGCAATAACCAAACCTAAATAACCTACAAACTCAGTTCATAAAATGGAAAAGCACCAGCCACTAGGTGGAGTCCACCAGCAAGCTATAAATTTAAGTACAGCATCAAAATAGAAAATAGGAAAATAGGGTTAGGTCCCATCAGACTTGGTGGTCGAATCTACCGGGTGGTCTTCCTTTAATAAAGCTATTTACTGCTCTTTTTTTTGCTCTTTTTAGCAGTGGCATTTTGTTTGTTTTTGTTTGTGTGTTTTTTGCATTGGTGTGTTTAATGTTTACATTATTCATCTGTTCTCATCATATGCTGGATGTTTGCACCTGTTGGCCTCTATGAGTCATTTTTGGAATGCAATCATATTAAAGATCAAATGGTTAGCAACACTATGCAAGACTCAATGCAAATATTTGAACTGTAGGAGCTGTGAAGTGCATTGTGGGAAATATAGGACATATTAAACCTGTATACTTCTGGGACTTTTTTTAGAGTTTCATCTTCTGCAGTTAAGGATTATCCAATTCCTCAGTCTAGACTAAAGCTGCAGGGAGTTCTGTAAAGGATACGACTCACTTAACATTGAAAAAATGAGAAAAGCTTTGTCGGTTTCTTTTTCCTTTCTTTTCATAAACATGCTCTTTTCTTTTATCATTGTTATGGACATGGTTTTGCTTCTGTAATTGTTCTACTTCCACATTAATTTGTTGACATTTAAAACTTTTTGCACCATTTACTTTGTAGCTGTGCCTTTAGGCTTGTAACATGATTATATCAATTTCCATACCAGAAGTGACAAAATTTATTAAAATAGCTTAAATGAATGAACCCAAGTACTTGGCAGCCAAGCATTGAGCTAAAAAGGGTTGATATGTTTATGGCCTTAAAGTCAGGCATCAACACCTAACACACTTAACAGCTACCTAAGATGCTGTTATGTCTTAGCCTAAACAAGTTCATATAGAAAATATTTCCAGTCAAAGCTTTAATTTACTCCTTTGCATTGATCACATTAAGCCTGTAATTTGTCACATTGATATAAAAATGCTGTGTGAAAAAAACTAGAATAAAAATGTTTTTATTCAGATATACGCCATGTTTCAGTTCTAAACAGCACTGCTATCAAGAGACTGTGGCAGCAACATCTTATCATTAGCTAATTGTATCACCAGAATTTTTTGAATTGTCATGAATAGTTGTGTAAACAATATAAAAGTAAAAAAAACTATCCACTGGACTTTGTTTTCCAAGTTTGAAGATGTTTTGCTTCCCATCCAGGAAGCTTTCTCAATTCAAAATGTCTGGATTAGGGTTGAGTCCCAGGCTTATGGCTTAAAAAACATGCAAATTGAACCGAAAAAAAAAGGTCCAGCCCTTAGTAATGGGGAGTTGTTGAGGTCGTTGTTGGCCTGCAAAACCCGATACTGGCCTATGCTTCTGAAAAGGGGCCATTGTTGACCTGGCTGAGCAGGCGAGATGTTTTGGTCACCTCCATGGCAATGAAGATTTAGATGATAGCGGGAAGCAATTAACTCTATCGCTGCATTGTAGGTTTTTGAGAGCTGGAATCTGAATCCTTCCCCTGTTAGGTTTATTCTTTATACATCATGTGCATTGTTACTTTGTTAGCCAGATTAGGCTAACAAAGGCCTTCCTTCACATGGTGGATGTCACTGTGTGTACAGAGGTCATCTAATCAGGACAGCCTTCGTGTCTTTAAAAATACACAGGATATGGGCACATCTTGGAGCGGACTGATAAAGAGAGCGATCTGTAATTCTGGGGCATAGAGGCAAGATGCATGAAGGTCAGGGCATGGATGGCGTGTCAGTTTCTGATACGGACAGCTAAGCATCCACCTGATCCAAAACATGGACTCATGAGGTATAAGAAGGAGGAGATGAGCTTGTTCGGGGCTCAATCTTTGCCGGACGCTCGCTGACGTTTTTTGAGCCCACAGCTGTGCAAGCTCCAAGCAATTTCTCTGTCCTGTAACGGCCTGACCTGGAATAAACTCTGTTACTTTTTTACTCCTGTTTTATAGTCCTTTTTTATATCGTTTTTACCCAGTTTGAGTTAAGAGTAGTAAATAACTTGCTCCCAGGAAAAGAACCAGAAGGGAAGTCCCGAGGCGCAGCCGCCTTCAGGGGGACATAACTTCCATATTTAACACCCCTCTGTTTAAGGTTGGTTGTTCCTCTCTTAACATAAATCCCTTCACATCCCTTTCAAACCACTACTTTTTTGCAAACTTCCACTTCTGAGGTTTTAACTTCATTTAACAAAGTTTAGCTTTTTATGTTGGACTAAAACTGTATTAAAATTTTATTTTGAAATTCAATTCAGGTAGAGTTGTTGCATAATTTAGGTCCATCAGAATCTGTTAATTAAACATAAATAACAACTAACTTTCATCAATTTAACT